GGAACTTACATAGGGTAACTAAAAGATACGGTGGAGAGAATTAAGAAACCTAATAACTGGATCAACTATTGGAATGTAGGAAGAAAGATTAGAGACTACTCTTCAAGAGAAATGTCAGAATTTTGGAGGCTACAATTTTTGCTAGATTCAACTTCTTTAATATACTATTTGAATAAGGGTCTTTCATGCACAACAAAAATGTTACAATTTAGAGAAAAGTGCGAGAGCTTCAGGTTTCCCACACTTTATAATAAACATTACTAAATATGAATTTTCAAGATGACCTATGAAAGTCATAACTGTTCTAACTCTCCTGCCATATTTAATACAGAAATACTGACTAACACACTGTGAAAACAAATGAATGCACCATCTACTCCTTTTTTATAGGAACAGGTATTATACATATAATAAATACAATATATAAGAATATAATACCTAATATAATAAGAAGAAATACAACTTGTCTTTACTTTCAAACACAGGGATTGGTGTAGTTACACTGACCGTATGAAGTCATTCCATCCACTGAACTCTTTCTATTCCCAGAGGAGATGGCAGGGATGCCATCCTGAAGAAGAGCTGCAAGTTCTCTGTACCCTTCATGAAGTAGTGCATTATAAAAGGATCTATATGAATTATTATCTTTTGTAAGAATAATATTTATTAGCATAGCTGCTCGCTCCTCCCGGGTGTTCTAGGAAAAAACATTAGAAGAGATGTTATACAAAAGTAAAACCTCAGAAATCATCTAGTCTATCACTCTGTCAATTATTGACCGCTTAGTCACAGAGGTAACCTTCCACTTGACCAAACCCTTAACTCAATCTTTTGAAGTGCAATATAAACTGCATTTTAGGCATACATTTTAGGATTTGCTGAATCCAGGAATGAGACAGACAGAAGTAAGTATTTTTTAAAAAGTATGCTATAACTTGTGAGTAGACTAGAAAGATAAATAATACTGAGAGACAATCCTACCTGTTGTTTCACTCTCTCCTCCTCCTGCAATGTTAGCACTTCGTCAGAAATCATTCGATCCATAATGTAAGAGGTCTTGATGTCTTTTTCCAAGGCTTGGCGGTTCATAAGTAAATAATTTCTACTCTTGACATCCATATTTCTTCACTGTGAAAAAGAGGAGGGGGAGAGAGTCAAGTCAGAATGAAAACACAACTTTCAAGGAAAAAAAGCTTTAATATAGCTGCATTAATGGAAAATACAGTGAATCTTGGGCAAGCTCATACTACAAACTACAACACTACAACCAGAATGCTAAAAAATTTAGTTGTTGTTTTTACTTTCTATCTTGATAAAGAGACTTTCATATTACTGTTATTTTAATTTAATTATACTGTGTATGACTCAGCAGTCTAGCTTGGCTAGACAGTACAGTTGCATCAAGAAAACACTGCAGAAATCTAATATAATTCCATTTCAACAGAGCAAAACAAGGCATATTAATAGTTAAGTTGTAATAGTTCACAAACTACTGTGAATATGAAAAGTACTTCTGAAATATCAGATGGCATATGTTATTATATTTAATAAAAACATAATTTGTATATTAATAATACACATTATTACAATTAATCTGACTACAGTATTTCTCTGATTACTTCACTTGGAGGCATACAAAGTAGGTATAAAATAATTCTAACCTTTAACAGTTAGCCAGACTCACAGTAAAACTTTTGTGCTCACTACATGAATGGAAGTGTTCATTAAAAAAGCAGATATGTACTGCTAATTCTGAAAAAAAAAAAAGGAAAAAATATCTGAGTCCTTCTCCACAATTCTATGAATTCATGTTTATGAACACTTGAAAGGCTGAAGAATCACAGTCTGTGCAAGCTTCTCATATACTAGGAACTTGCTGAATGTCTCTGAAAAGGTCTTCTCCACACCTACTACATCCCTCCATTTGTTTAAGTCCTTATATCATGAGACTGGGAAACAGGATGAGAAAGAGGACTGGTTTCATGGTTGACAGCAGAACTACATGGTTCTAGGCAGAACTACAACAGAAAATATACTTCCTGTGTACCAAATTCCATGAGATTAATTCAACCTTGTCTTCCATACAAGTACCCTTGATCTTGACACTGGAAGATGAAACATCCAACACTGACAATGACTGAGCTATACTGTCCTTTGTCAACACTCAATCATAGAATCACAGAATGGTTTGAGTTGGAAGGAACCTTAATGATCATCTGTTTCCAACCCCCTTGCATGAAGAGCAACACTTCCCACTAGAACAGGGTGCTCAAAACCTCATCTTGGCCTTGAACACTTCCAGGGATGGGGCATCTTCAGCTTCCCTGGGTAACCTGTTCCAGTGCCTCACCACCTTCACACTAAAGAACTTCCTCCTAATGTCTAACCTGAATCCATCTTCTTCCAGTATAAAGCCATTCCCCCTTGCCCTATCACTACATGCCCTTCCAAGAAGTCCCTCCCCAGCTTCCCTGTAGGCCTCTTCAGGTACTGCAAGGCTGCTGTAATGTCCCTCTGGAGGCTTCTCTTCTGCCGGCTGAACAGCCCCAACTTTCTCAGCCTGACTTCATAGGAAAAGTGCTCCAGCCCTCAGATCATCTTTGTGGCCCTCCTCTGGACTTGCTCTAAGAGCTCCAACTATAAACTCGCATTCTTCCTCCATGTACTAAAAAACAAACAAACAAAAAATATTTTAAAAATGCCTTAAGACGACAGAAGACGAGAACCATGGTCTACCATGTAAAGGCTTCCCAGCACTGACCAGCTGCCTGAGAGTCTTAAATGCTCAAAACGATCTCTCTGATCACAGGACTGCACAGCAGCCAGAGGCTCCGTATCACGAATCGCAAGCTCCTCCACAAAGCAGCTGCCTGTAGAAGTGTTCACCTTTTCCTTCGCTCCCTCCTTCGGGATCCGGGTCCTGACGGAATTTCCTATTTTCACCGAAAATTACGTGGTTATAACCCACCGCACGGCTTAGGAAAGGGATGTGAAAGCTCCCCAGTCGAAGAACATCCAGTTTTAAAGGAATAAATAAATACTAATCAATCCAAACGCGAAGCACGTACAGGAAGCAGGCACCCCACAGATAAGGTATAAACTCACCAAACAAAGAGTTACCTCACTCAGCGCAGCCCCGCGCCGGCACTTCCTCCTTCCGGGCCCGGGGCTGTGAGAGCAGCGGGCGCGGCCCGGCCCGCTACCCTGCTCGGCCGCAGCTCAGCCCCCGCCCGGCAGCCCCGCGGAACAAAGCCCGCGCTCCAGC